AGGGCTGAGCCAGGGCAGAGCCACGAGCCAGCACAGGGTGGCTGCAGCACCAAGGTCCCTGCTGTGCTGGCACAAACCTCTGCAGAGGGGACGCCTGTCCCCACCCCACCACTTCCTGCCAGCGTCCCCGAGGTGCCGCGGGGGAAGGTGGTGGATTCAGGCCTGGAGGAAGCGATCAGCCTCCTGGGCTCGGCCCTGGATGACTATCGGGGGCAGTTCCCAGAGCTGCAGCCCCTCGAACGGGAGCTCAAGCACCTGGAGGAGATGCTGCTGGTGAGAGGCTCACAGCAGTGTCTGGGGTCAAGGGAGACAGGGCCATCCCTGCTGGCAGTGCCTAGGGATGATGGGGATGGGACTATCCCTGCTGGCAGTGCCTAGGGATGACGGGGTTGGGACTATCCCTGATGGCAGTGCCTGGGGATGTTGGGAAGAGGGCCATCCCTGATGGCCGTGCCCAGGGATGATAGGGATGAGGCCATCCCTGATGGCATAGCCCGGGAATGAAGGTGGCAGGGCTGTCTTGTCTGGTGACCAGGATTCAACCCCACCATGCCTTCCTCCACAGCAGAAGCAGGGTGTCTTCCTCAGCCGGGCCTCCAGCATGAGCCTGACAGTGGAGCACGCACTGGAGAGCTTCAGCTTCCTCAACACCTCCGACATGGAGGACTCAGAGGGCTCTGAGGAGGAGCCTCTCCAAGACGAGAGGTGCACAGTGGGACTCATGGGATGGGGCATGGGGCAGGAGGTGGCTGTGGGGCAGTTGGGAGGGGGGAGGCCCAGCTCTGCCAGGGTGCCCAAGCACATTTAGACCAGCTTATCACAGCTTAGGGAAGGTCCAGGTCAAGAAGCAGCAGTATCTCGTCCTTCTGTTACCACAGTGCCACCCTGCATCTCTCCATCAGGATGGGCTGGAGGCAGTCCTTGTGCCCTGGGTCCCTGGGATCTATTCCTTTCCCCACCCATGATGCTGTGATGCTATAGGTGCTACAGAAACTGCCCTGTGGGTGGGGAAGGGCCAGGACCAGGTTTTCTGTGCTGATCCACTGCTTTGATGTCTCCCTGGCTTGCAGGAGGGCTGGCAGACCCTTGCGCAGCAGCAGGGCCCCCAGTGCTGGTGAGATGGGGGCGGATGACACCGGAATGTGCAGTGGCTCTGAGGCCAGCACAGACCCCATGAGCACTGGCAATGAGTTCCTGGATAAGGCTCTGGTGCTTCACCTCAACAATTGCAACCACCTGCTGCTGGTGAGGACCAGGGATGGGGTATGGTGGCAGGAGACACGCTGGGATGGGCTGTAGGCCCCTCCTCAGTGGGTGTCTCGCTGTGGCATGGAGGCTGTGGTGTGGGCAGCGAGCTCTGTCCCTGAGGTCCCTGTTTTGGCTGTGCCTTGCAGAAGCTGGGCACCTTTGGTCCCCTGCGGTGCCAGGAGATGTATGCTCTGGACAGGCTGCTGCGGGAGTCACAGGTGCTGGAGATCGTGTGCCAGCTGACGGAGGAGCGTGCAGGAACAGCCAGCTCAGCTGCTGAAGGTAAAGACAGGAGGACTCTCCTTGCCACCCAGGAGGCCGTGTAAAGCTGGGTGTCCTCTCGTGGGCATGGCTGGGCAGCAAGAAGCCATACCAGGTGGAAGGCAGGAGTCACCTGCCTGCTGCCATGGCCTTGTGGAGGCTTGACAACACCTGTCCCCACAGTGGTCCAGTTCTCGATGCGGAAGGAGGGTGTGCTGTCCCTTTGGGACCGCTGCGTGGAGGCACCAAATGTCTACACCTGCCCTGTGGAGCGGTTCCTGCAGGTGCTCAGTGCCCAGTATGCAGCAGCCATCAGTGAGCAGCACCCTGGTTTGGCTGATACTGGTGAGTGGGTGTGCAGAGGTGTCCGTGGAGTTGACAGCCTCAGTGACCATGAGTGGGGATCTGTGGGTTCTAGAAACCCTGCAGAGGGGGTGGCCATGGCTGCTGCACACTCTGATCCTGGCTCTTTCCCACAGTATGTGTGAAACTGGTGGAGGATGTGCTGAATCGACGGCTGCCCCGGCGGCCAGGCAGTGCCCAGAGCGAGCAAGTCACCATCTTCCAGTACTGGAGCCACTTTGAATCGCTTGGCGCTCTAGTGCTTGACACCTACATGATGGAGCTGGCAGAGGAAGGTGGGTGCACTCCCAACCTCCTGAGGCCCTGGGAGGGGGTTCCAGAGCGTCGCCATAGTGATTGACCACCATGACTGCCCTGGGGCATCACCCAGCCACCCTTGGGGTGGGCAAGTCAGTCTGATCCAGAGTGCTGTGCACTCCCATGTCCTTGCTGTAGATCCCCAGTATCTTGGGGGACAACTCCATGGGTTGGCACCCTGCATGGTGCCACCTCTACTCGGAATGGATGTAGGGTGCCTGGGGGTGGGTTGCCTGTGGTGGCAGGGTTGTGGGGGCAGTGCCATGTGGCTCCCTGTACCCTGGCTGAGCCAATGGCTTCCCACAGCACTGCTGGCACAGAACCTCAACTCGGACGACCAGGACGTGGTGTTGCGTGCCCTGAAGCGCATGCCTGAGGGTCGCCTGAAGAAGGAGGGCCTGAAGGCACTGAGCCTGCTCCTTGTGGAGGGCAACAGCAAGGTGGTGAGCGCTGTGTCGGCCCAGCTGCGCAGCCTGGCGGAAAACCCACGCTTCCGCCAACGGGTACGTGCTGGGCAAGCCAGGGATGAGGGTGGACTGGTGCCACAGCCCCCAGGGTGCTGCCCCTAGCTCTGCTGCAGGTGGTGGCACTGACTCCCGCATCTCCCCCAGGCCCTTGTGTGCTTCCTGGAGCAGCTGGAGGATGAGGAGGTGCAGACACGCGTGGCAGGGGGTGCGGCGCTGGGCTGCCTGAAGGTGAGAGGAACGTGGGGAGGAGGGAGCAGAGCTGCATATTCCTGAGGAAGAGGAAATGCATGTGGCCAGTGACTCCGGACACACCTGGTCAGCCTTCTGCTCCTGGGAGAGAAGAGCTGGGGGTGCTCCAAAAGTGCTGGAGCAGCAGCAGGGGCAAGACAGGAAGGGGAATGGGGAGGGAAGGGGCAAGATGAGGGGCTTTCCTGCAACATAGGGCTGCAGTACCCTGTGCTGCCTTCTACTTCATGCTGTGTCCCTGCTCCATCTCTGCCAGCCACACTCAGCCCTTTGTCCCTTCTCCTGCAGGCCAAGGAGAGCATCGAGCAGCTGGTTTACCTGTGCCAAACTGACAAGGAGCCTGTGCGGGAGGCAGCCAAGCAGAGCCTGATGCTGTGCGGTGAGTGTCTTTCTGGTTCTCTCTGCTCCCTCCCCACTCACAGCATCCCAAGCAGCATCTCCTGGTTCCAGCAGTGCCCACAAGAGATGGGGCTCCAGGGCTGGTCCCTGCCTACCCCATGCACTCTGGTTCATTGTGCCCCAAGCTCTTCTGGGCAAGAGCAAGCTGGCAGCGGACAGCGAGGGCCAAGCATCCTGTGGCCACAGCACTAAGCCTGGTTGTTATCTATTATTTGCTAGATGGCCCTGAGAGAACCATCTGAGTGTGTTTCTAGGCCTCCAGATCGCGGCAGCTGCTGCACAGGTTGGGACACGTGAGCTGTCCTCGTCCCCCTTGTCCCCACTCCTGCCGCTTTGCTCACGAATGTCTCCGTCTTAGAGCCTGTCAGCCATGTCACGTTTGGAGTCTGTGTCTTGGTTGTTGATAGTGCCCATCCCTGTGGCACCTCGGCACATTGTAGACGCCTTGTGTCCTATGTCCCAGCAGATTGTCCATGTCACCACCTCTTGCTGGGGATGGCTGCTGCAGACAGATTTGTGTGCGGGGGTGCTGGGCAAAGAGCTCAGAGTGAGCCTGTAGCATGGATGTGTGCGTTCCTTTGTGTGCTCTGGGGTCCTGGGGGAGCCCTCAGGACACCTGTGCCAGTGCATGCAGATGTGCACAGCTGTTGAAGCTACTGGAGCTGGCACAGCCCTGAGCACTGGTCCCTTGGTCACGAGCGAGGCTCTCCACAAGCCAGCACTCCTGCAGCCCAAACGTGGGTGAACCCTGCCCCGCGTGGGCAGCCGAGGAACAGGATTTGCAACCTCTGAATCAGGAGCTCTGTGGACTTTTTGAGCCGGATCCCAGCTGGGACCTGCCCAAGGGTGTGCTAAGGACAAGAGAGGTCTCCATGCTGTGGCCGTAGCACGCAGGCTCAGCTCTGCCAGGCATTGGGCATGTTTCCCTGGAAAGGCCGGGGAAGGTGGCCAGGGATGGGCAGGGGACAGAGCTTCTGCAGTTCAGATCGCTAAATGCAGTGTGTACTTGCAGGGGAAGATGGTAAATCAGCTCACCGGCGGCTGGAGGAGACCCTGGACAGCCTCCCGCGGATCTTTGCACCAGCCAGCATGGCCAGTACAGCTTTCTGAGACCCCACGCACACCCACCTGCCATCCCTGAGGGCAAAGGCACCGCTGGGCCGCCCGGGCTTGCACGGACTGGGGACCCGGCAGCTCCCGCTCTCGGCACCACCGCGCAGTATTACCATGGCCGCACACACTGCCTTACGGAGCACCGCTGCTTCCCTGTCCCGGCCCCACCGAGTGCCACCTCCGCACCACTGGGCAGGGGCTCGCTGCACACCCCACCCTCTGACCGCTATTTAAAGTACCCGGGGAGCCCACCCTTCCTGCCCCCC